AGAGAGAGAGAGAGAGAGAGAGGAAGAGAGGGGGCGCATTAGTGAGCAGCGACTGTGGCATTGATGTTTGAGCGCACTTCTGAACTGGCTTTTGTTGAGACTATCAGTGTAGAAAGCATGCGCTGTCCCAAATCCGCTGTTACTATGAGAAATGAGGAGCTGCTTTTAAGGTATGTTGTTGTGTGTTCTTTGTTTTTAATGTATGCTTTTCTAGTTTCTAGGGCTAGCTGAGAAAATAATCGTGCTCTGAATCAAGTAGCTTCCTTATCTTAGAAGAGAAGGGGGCAAAAAAGAATCTAAAGAGAGAGGGAAAGGAAATTGAGACCAAGAGATTGGGAGAAAGAGCGAGCAAGCAAGAGAAAGAAGGATCGCTGTGAGCGAGTTGTATTTCTACCAGTTGCCTTTTGAAAGCAGATCTTGTGTTTGTTCACGGCTATTTGTGAGTGGCCAGTGGATCATTTTAAGGGCTCCGGATCTGGCTCTTGGTTCGTCTTTTCCTTTGCAATGTCTAAGCCTCTTTCATTATTATGCACTCTGCATGGAATAATCACCGAAAAAGGAGCTGAGGAGACTCCATATTAGACTTGCGTTCCAAATATCGCTCTAATCTGGACTTAACCTACCTAAATAGTACTCCTGTGTTACCAGGTTTGGATCACTTTATCCTGTTTGCCAAAATGTGTACCTGTTTGGAGACCTCTGTTCATGCATGGCTTCCTGGGTCCCCATGTATGGAAAGCAAATATTTGTTTCCTGCATCGGTGTTGGGGTTCTATCACATACCAAGAAGGAGCACCACTGACCTTTTGGGAAGGAGAGAGAGAATTATCATAGAATTGGCATCCTGCTTTGAAAAATGTAGTCTTTTGTTTATTTGCTAGCAGACATTGTAGCACTGAATACATCTTTGGGTCTGACAATGCGACTGGTTGAACAATGGAGCTGTCAAACTAGCTTAATGCATGTCTGGGGCTTCCCCCACCCCCCCAACACCCTTTTTATCTCCTATAATCTTGTTTGTATAGACTATCAGAACGCAGAGCTTTTAGAACTGCTTGTTTGTGGTGTTATGCTTTTAAAAAATTTGCTATCTACCGTTCACAGAGCTTTTTGCATTTTGCAGTTATGTTGGTTGGATTAAGTTAGAGATTTATTGCTTACCTCTCTATTAACTACAGAAAGAAAACTTGCTGATTGGGAATGCTTGTAATACTATTATCATTCTGACAAATACTTTCTGATCAGATCTGCTTCTACAGTATTTAATGCTCAGGTTTTAAAATTTGTTCATTTGGTGGACTTATGAAATGTAGCAGTAAAGATAAGTTAAGAGGAATAATTTCAATGCTTAAATTATAGTTTCTAATCTCTACTTTCCATTTTGGCATCTTTGTAGATAAATAATTTAGAAATTCAAGGACAAGTGAGAACTTTTGCCCTTACAATTTTGGCTACAAACTATTATTCTATAGAATATTGAGTTGTTAAGTTAAGAGTCTCTATGGAACATATTGATTTTTGATTTATGCTTGTGTCCTTATAAAATACATTTCTATGCAGGGCAAACATTTCTCATGTCTTTAAATATTTTTCATTTTATAAGATAAGCATTGGTTTCTAAGGTGAAAACAGAGACTGTGGAAAGAGAACATGGAAAAATCTATTTCAAACTTCTCAAATATTGAAACTGTTTTTATTCCAACATTAGATATAAAAGAATCACCCCTAGGAGTGTAGACAGTGATTGAATTACAAGAAAATCATCTTACTAAGGTTGATTTCTATGAAGAATATATATTTAGCTAATGTTTAAGTGTTTTACTTAACTGTTTGTGCCATTACAGTATATCAAAATATGCTAGTAAATTCATGGAGAAAGATTAAGGACCTGATTTTTAAAAACAAAAAAGAAATTGATTTAAAGGGGAAAAATTTAGAAAATATTTAGCTGCAAGTATTTCCTGTTATATTTTGGTTCAGATTAGTGCTGTTCCAAGTTAATAAGGAACAAGATGTATAACGTATAAAAACACAATTATGAAACACTAATTTTTAGAGTTTGGATATTTTCAATTTTTTAAACAAGTTGAAATGTTATGCAATATTTAATGCTGAATTATTTAAATAAATGTTACTAAATAGAATTGTTTTTTCAAGTAGGAATTTTCTATTAATATCTTCAGAGCCTATGTGCACCGAATACATATATATATATATACACACATATATACATATATGCATTGTAATATTTTAAAAGTTACCCATTGTGAGTTGAGTAGATAGTAAGTGCATACTTGTTATTTTCCCTTCTAATGGGACCTGAACTTCTCCCTCCATCGAGTATACCAATAATTGCTTTAAGAATGAGCTCATAAAAGGTAATGGGTGAAGTTTTATATCAGAAGCTAGCCAACTGTTACCAGCATACCCAGGGCCTGCTTTCATGGGATATTTTTAATCCAAAAGAAAGATTGCAAGTATTTTCTATGTGTGTGATTTTGGAGAAAAGTAGTCTTCCGAGATCATTAGCTAAATGTCATATGCTCACTTAAATAAAGAAATCACTTGGAAAGCTTCATTTTGAATTTTTTATTTTTATTAAATTACCAATTATTTAACTGTTATCTATTCACTTTAATTTCTGTGTGGTCATATGTCTCAAAACAAGGGAAATTTATTCTCACTTTGCCTCTCCAATTGCTTGATCCATTAGTAGCTTCCAGAATTTGGAGACACTCCCTTTCCCATTCCAGCATCCAAAATACAAATGCTTTTATTTCTTTAACCTCATAGGGAAGGTATGAGATTGCTAGGAGTTGGCAAACTTGTCTGCACCTATTTCTACAACAGTAACTAGATAACATAGTCTGTGTCCTGTTATAAGCCTCTGTGTGTAATAATTCCCCTGTATAGGGACCTAAAAAAATGTAGAAATAAAATTTAATTCTAAGCCAAGACCTGTAGAATAGAAATAGTGAAAGATTCAAACTGGGCAAATGGTTTCTTTCAACAGAGAATAATGATTGCACCCTAAGCCCCTTTACACATAAGCCACAGGAATATTCATATAGATGTGTTCAGCAGACTGCAGACTGAGCTCTATAGTCTCAGTGTATTAAAATTCTTTTATTTGTTAAAATGAAAGACAGTTTCTCTTTTTCAAAATATGAATGGATCCAATTGCAAAATATCCTTTGGGAGCTGAAAAACAAAGGAGAGCGTTTGATTAATATTCACTCTTAGAACTTTATAGCAAGTACAGATTGTGCTTGGATACCTAGGAAGTCATTCAAAGAGTGAATCAATACTAATTATTGTAATCAGGGGGGTTAATTAGGTGAAAATGTGGCTGATGGAAAGTTCATTGCTCACAGCCCTGGAAACAACCAGGTTGATGAAAAGAAAGGTAAAATGCAAAAGGAATGTGAGAATGATCACTCGGCATTGAGGTGTTAGAATTTGTAGATTAAAAAACCTGGATTTTATATAATTGTGGTTGCAAGGAAATTAGAAATAGCAAACTTAGTTGTTTGTGTATAGAGGTTTGTATGAGGTATTAATGGAATACAGTTTGTTCCGCTTTGTAGCATTTATCTAGACTTTGAACAATGAATACATGTCAGTTCAGTGGCAATAATGCCTTCTTGGATCATCTTTATTAGCCTTCACAGAATTTCTTTTTATATTTTGGTAATTCCTGATAAATTTGCTGGGGGAGGTATTCCTATTTCCTAAACCTATGGATTATTTCTGTAATTGTTATTGGATTGGGGAGGGGTTTTTTTTTTCTTTAAGTAACAGTGACTTTTATTCTGCAGAAAAATGCATCAGTGGTTTGGAGTGGATTAAAATTATTTTACTTAGCTGACATTAGGAAGAGAGTGTCAGAGAAAGGAGGGCATATGTGAAGTTTTATGTTGTAGTCCATTCAAAATAGCAATGAAGTGTCCAAGACCTGGTGCACCTTTCTCATCACATGGCACTAACCTATGTTGATGGTGCTAAAATGGAAGTTGGTGTGTGTGTGTGTGTGTGTGTGTGTGTGTGTGTATGTATGTTTTGAACCTCCTCTCAACTCAGAGATACTGTTAACCCTGATATGAGATAAGGTGCACCTTGTGTCCAAAGATAGCCTTCTGCTTCATGGAAAGTCATTAGGAATTATCACATACAGGTGTGCATATCTTTGCTTCACTTTCTTCCAAATGTGTGACCAATCCTGGCACATGCTGTTGTATGTCAGGATCATCTAAGCTAAAAGGAAATAGCATCTGTGGAGAGAAAGTGACACCATCCCGGAGTGACATGTATTACAAGGGCAACTTGAGCTCCTGCTACCTCAGCCCACAGCAGGTTGACCCGCCCATGATTGGCTGCTAGAATCATGATGAATCACTCGAGTTTATGAAGCAGGACTGCTAGCCTGCCCCCAGAAAATTTTTTTTAAAACTAGATTTTACCCGAAGAATTAGTCAGTTCAACAAAGTGTGCTATCATGGTAAAGAAGAAATTGTATAATTGTAATACACCTTCAATATTCATGGCTACTTTTCATGCTTTTTGAGAAAGCTTGCAGCTGTAATCAGTAGCAACACTGTTAGAACTCCTGCAGAGTAGTGCTGGGTTCTAGCAGGTGGTTCCATGCAGAAATCAACGAGGGCCTTCACCCCTCCTGGAAAGCTGTCCAGGGCCATAGGCCCTGTGCTGTTCATCATGCCTTGCCTTTTGCATGTTTTGGTTCAGGACTCCTGCTCTCTTTTGCATTCTGTGATTTGGTTTATCTACTCATCCAGAGATGTTTTAGGAATCCTCCACAAATGAAAACTCCCTGTGTAGGCAGGGGTAGAATGCCTTCCTGGTGGCTGTGGTCAAGATTAATTTTGATCTCTTTGAAAACTAATTTGATAAAAAGGAAAGGAGCCCTCATCCCAGGCCACAGAATGCTCCATGTCTGCTCTCCATAAATCATAACTTTCTTCCTCCCTGTGGACTGAAAACCTTGATGCTACAAGAATAATACGGTGAAGGCTGGCTTTCTCTCTTCCTTCTCAACTGCCAGTTTTAGGTTCCAATGAAGATTAGGGTATGGGATATGAGGACAAAAATAAGGGTAAAACTAAAATTCATTAAAAATCTACAGTATACCTGGCACTGCACTGAGTGGTTAGTT